GAGATAGCATGCTATCCTAATAAGGTGGTGAACTCGCGACAGGGCATAGAAACTGATCTAGATGAGGTTAGCACTGGGAATAATTTTGTGGCGCGTGGCTTTTCGTTGTAGGTGTTACAGTCTGAAGCTGTATATACTAATGTTTCTCGAGGGGATCGGGCACTGGCTAAAGACTTGAAGGCGTGTTTTGGTACTACGGATCAGAAGGAAATCTGTAAAGAGATCCTCATGCATGGCACGCTACAGGTAAAGAAAAAGTGCAGGGTGCTCGGATCGAACCTGGGTGGTATTAAACTACAGTCGTACTGTCAGATCACTGGCACCGAGAGAGAATTCTTCCACGAGTCTCGCACTAACGAGGTAATTACACAGCTAGCCGAGATGTGTATCGACTCGAGGACGGGATTCCCCTTGACCAAGGATCAGATATCCTCAGCCCTTCAAGACATCAACTACCAGGTAGTAACTGCTTCGCGTGATGAATTATCACTGATAATTAACTCGATTACGATTTTAAGCTCGATTATTAACTCGCTTCACTGAAAAAAAATTACAGAATATCATCACTGATAATATTCTGTAATTTTTTTGTTCATCTCTGCTGGTTCGGTATGTGGCGTTGCTTGCCTGACGAAGGAAATTGTGGGGCTTTATGGGAAAATGCTCAGGTCAGGATGGGTTTGTTGTCTAAGGTACGAGTGGGGGCTCAGACGATGACAGCGTTGAACAAGAGTAAGAAGGAGGTTAATGAGGCTAAGCTGCAGGCTAGGGAGGCAATGAAGGCCTTAGAGGAGAAGATGCCAGAGTAGCAGCACTTGCGCACTCGGAAGAATTTGTGCATGCGTGCAGAAAGTGTATCTTTGAACCTGGATTTGTCCCCATTTTCAGTCGGATAGTGCGAGCTTCGATGCGCATACGTGTAGTTCATCCAGGCAATGACGACACGTTTGATAATTTCATGGTGAAAGTGAAGGAAGCCCTCAACTCGGAAGGGGAAGCATCTCCGGTTTTCGGAAAGGTTGACTCGATGCACAATGACGGAGATCGGCATATCCTGCAGATCACATGTCATCCAAGGTAGCTAGGCTCTAATAACAACTGTCCTTACTGTGATCTCAAGTTGGCGGTGGATCGCCTTGTTAGGATATTACACTCACTGATATCAGTTGTGGTTATTCATAATCGGAGTGGTAGATTCCATTGGAATGTTTGATTTGTTTCAGCTTGTATCGGCCGATCGATCAGCTGTGCAAGGAGGAGTACCCTAAGGGTAGCAAGAGCGTTGTCACTATACAGATAGTGTCTAGTAGAGTGACGGGGCCGGAAGCAGCGCTACGTCCGCTACGAAAGGTAGTCTCTATCTTGGTCGCGGCATGGCTATTGGTGGTGGCCTTTTACCGCCCCCCAAAAAAATATGGAAAACTCTATGATATTTCCTGGAAGATTTTTTTGTTGTCCTTAAGACCGTATTGTTTTCGTCACGATTAGTAAGTTGCATCGCTCCGTCATTTCAGGGCGTTGCTTCTTCTAATACGGAAACGTCATCATCACCAGAGTCATCAGCTGAGTCGGTCACTCCGGCTCCTATGGTTGCCCGGAAAGGCCCACAGTGTCGAACTTGTGATGTGCAGCAGTTCGACTCAACTAAAGAGTTCAGGGATCATGTCAAGTCTGATTGGCACCTTATAAATGTGAAGCGAGAGGTAGGTGGAGTTACTGCAGTTTGCTATTGAAATGCGGTTGGAAAGTGCAATCACTTTGGTGACCCTGCGAGCGGCATTCACACGCGTTATATAAGGGATCTTCTTTCGTATGTTCGCTGAAGCAGATCGATGATTGTTATTATACGGTTGCAACAGGTGACCCTGCTCTGGTGTAGTTCTCTTTTCAGTTGAAGCATCTACCTCCACTGGGCCACCTGGAGTTCGAGATGCTGCCCCCTGAGGTCCGAGTGAACTTCAGAGCTGTTGATAGTTGAATGCTGCCGTCATTGTCTTCGCTTGTGCATTCCTAACTAAGTTCATCGGGTATCTCTGCCTTGAGTTGGGATATTTTGGCGCATCATATAGTGAGGTCCCAGGTTCGATCCCTGGTGACGTCGTTTTTCCGAATTCTGCAGAGACTTCGCGGATATCGTGGTTCTGAACTATCATTGAGAGAGAGTTTGTTGTTATAGGTTTGTTGTTGAGCACCGATAGAACCTCCTACGTCCGTCCTCCTACCTCATCATGCATCGTCAGCATCTGGTGGTGGAGGGGGAATATGGAAGTGGTGACCTCCTACTACCCTCTACGGGTGTCTATACCGCGGCAGCTGCAGCAGCAGTCATACCAGCAGCTGGGTAGTATGGGAGGCGTCTTCTGATGCGTTTGAGAGTACTCGGTGTTGGAGTATATGTTCGGTTTTCCTCAACTGAGCTCAAGAGTTTGCTGACTAATTATAGGAGTTACATACGAAATAGGAAAATACTAAATTCTTGAAATTTCCTCAAAATTTTCATATTGTGGGCCACACATGTAGTTGATCATGTGCATATTTTCCCGCTGTGGAGCTTGCTTCCTCGTAGCACGCGGTAGAGTCGTTGCTGATGCCAGTCTCTGTGGTTGGGAATGTCTATAGGGCAGCTGAAATCACTGGTGTTGGTATGTGTAGTTGTGAGCCTCCTCTTTCTATTTAGTGGATTATACGTGAACACGCCTCACGTACCCATTGGAGGTCTAAGAGGCTGCAGCAGCTTACTTACTGGTGGCGGTCATGCTTTCCACACTGCTACTTCTAGTATGGCTACATATTTGGGCCAGTGTTTGACGCTAGGACAGTTGCATACTTTGGCTGGGGCTACAGGTAGTAATGGGTAATATGAATGTGTGATGTGCATGCTCACGCGGTATTTGACAATAGGATAGTTGCATAAAGTGAAGATGAGTGTGTCGTTGTGGATTATATTGTCAACGTTGTTGTGTTTCGTTGTCATCGAGATGTAGATCAGTCGTAGGTTGCAAATTTTGCAATACGAAAAAGTGAGAAAATGTCAGAAAAAAATTCCGAATTGTTCGAAGGGGATGTACAGTGCAATGGTGATGGTCCGACATTGGTGTTGTTTTCAGCCTCGTTCGTGGCGGTGATATCGTCTTATCCATTGGACTTGATGAAAAATAGAGTAGCTTCTGCGTCCCTATACAAGTCCCCTTTGGACTGTATGAGGATCACATGGAAAAATGAGGGTTTTAAAGGTAGGGACCTTTGAACCTTGAGACGTTTCTTTATGAACTCTATCAGGCTTCTATAAAGGAGTATCGTCGCCTATGATTGGGGACGTGGCGATTGGGATGACAGCCTTCGGAGTGTATGGGTATATGAGTACTCGCCTTAAGCAGAGTTCTAACAATTCGTTCAGTCCGACCAAAACGGCCGCTATTTCTGGTATGTCACTGTGGGCAATTGTCGGGAAAATGTTGCTGTTGTTTTCAGGAGGGACTGCGGGCTTGGCAGCTGCTGTGATTGGATGTCCTTTCGAAGTGGTTAAGCTTCAACTCCAGATGCAGTACGTGCGAGGCCTCAGCGCTTCTATCAACGTTGCTTCGTCGGAGTATACGTCAGTGGTGAATCACGTAAGTAAACCGT